TTTTTTTTTTTTTTTTTTTTTTTTTTTTTGGCTTCTTGAATGAAACTGAGCTGAAGAAAAAACAGTAGAGACGAGAAGCAAAACGAAAAACTACATATGACTACACAAAAAACAGTTAAAAAGAACTTAAGTGGGTATTATCTCAATTTATCACTGCCCCAGTTGATATATGCTTCAAAATAAGACAAGTATTATCATCATTTTCGACGTCGGTGTCTGATGGTTTTTTAATCTATCAAAAAACGGAAAGACCGAAAAGGCAGTTAAAAATTATTTAAAAGAAAAAATACCTTTTTTTTTGTTTTCAAAAGACTTGGAATCTTTTTTCCTGTCTCATAACTGTTATAACGATAAAATGTTTTCTATTATTTGACAGAGCAGTTGGATAATTATTCAAAGCGGATAGCAAAAAGTACAAAAATTTGAAACAGAAGGAGAAAAAAAGAAACTTTTTTGAAATGTAAAAAAAGGTTTATTTTTTGTAAAGCTTAAAAGAACTATGACAAACAAATAAAAACGTCTTCTAACGTGTAACTGCTTTTTTACAAATTGAAACATTATTTTAGCATTTTTATCTTGTCAAAAAAAGTTTGCTCAGAAAAAATTTTCTTCCCTTCGACTCCAAATTAAGTTTGTTTGCCGTCAAGTTAGCAAGTAACAGAAAAAAATCGGATTGTGATCGTAGTAGAACTTCAAAAACGTCTTTAACTTTTACACAATAATGTGGAACAGGAAAAAAAATATTATTACTGAACTGCTGTTCCTTCAAATACCAAACCGAAAATACCAATAAAATAAATGTGTTACCATATGCCGATTTACTAAGGTACATTTTTCACTAAACTAACAACAAATCAACCTAGTAATAAGTCAGAAAAAAGAGAGAAAAAAAGAAAAACAAAAACTTATTTCTCTTCATGTCTTGTTTAAAGAAATAATTTAAAAAAAAACCATACGCCAAAATTCGAAATCCAAGACAGTACTGAACTGACTGTTTTTTATGATCGAACCAGTGGAGTTTCTCAACACCGACATTTGTCATCAGCGGCAAGGGGCAGAAGATCATAAAACCATCCAAGAAAAAAAAAATTTAGCACTAATCGGCTCAGTTCTCAAGTTTCCCGCTTGTTATACTTGCGTTAATTGTTAAAGGCCGGAGTTCAAACCACAAACTTTAAGTAGTAGTAACCAATGGTTAGTTAAGCTATTCTGAACTAAAACTAACCCAATTTTTAACTGCCAAATATTCATTTAGTGTGTTCTGTTCAGCTACTACACTGTTAATATGTAATTCAGAAATAATGCTAAAATAAAAATCGATTTGAGAAATACAAGGCAAAAAAATCTTAATTGCTTCAACACTCGCTATTTTAGCATTGGTAATCATTGAAATAGCAACTAAAAAAATAACGTTGTTAAAACTGCTCTCCAAAAACAACTTAGAATCCCAAGACTAATTCATCGGTTGTTTAAGCAGCTTAGTGGAGTAAATCACCTTTATGGGTCTGGATTTCAAGGCTTAAGTCCTAGTTCAAGTGCTGAGGTAGGTGAGTATGGGAAGAAGTGGGGAGTAGTGTGCAGCTCCAAAGCTTAGTTACCAGGCTTAGAATTGTTTAGTGTTTCTTTTAATGTTTATGCTTTTCAAATATAACAGTCCTGATTAACAGAAAAAGATTTAAATATGACGCAGATGTAAGATTCCAACTTAAGCCAACTGCCTTTTTTCTGCTTGTGTTTTTATGTGAATATCGAATACTACTAAATACAATTAATCTTTAATAATATTACCAAATGATTTAGCTAGTGATTTATTAATAGTAATGAACTACTAGAAGCAGCAACAACAGCACCAGCAAAAGGAGGAGAAAAAGAACCAAAAGCAGTAATTGAACTAACTTTTTACTTTCCCTCTGCGTAAATTTAGCACGTTTGTCCGACGTATAAACTGGTTGTTTTGTTCGCTGTCTTGTTGAATTCATGATAACCGTCCTCTGATGAAGCACCAATTAACCTCTGGTTGCTTTAGAAGCGTAACTGCTAAAAATTAATATCAGCTACCTACGTTTCAAATTTACGGATAATAAAAAGGTTTAATGTAATCGTTTAAATGTCAAGATTTAAACTTTTTTCTTTGCTCTAAAGACAAAAAAATAACAAATGACAACAAATTATTTTGAAGATATATATACCTAACGTTTATGCAATTTTCCAAATGTTAATGGCAGACAACCAAATGTATTTAAGTATATCTATCTGTTTTCATTCGATAAAAAATAATCTAATTTATTTCCAATTTTTTTTGCCCAAATCCATCATAACTTTTTTTAGGGTTTAAATAAAGTAAAAAAAAAAAGACTCAAAAAATCGTTGTTTTCGGAGATAATAAACTTATAAACCAAAAAAAAGATTTTTTTCACTCAGCCTTGAATCTACAAAAAAGGACAACTAGTTTTTTTTTTCTTGTATAATCCTTTAGAAACTGCATTTTCCCAATGATTCAGATATCTATCCAAAAGAAAAAAAGCCATGTTACCCACTTAAAGAACTTAGTTTAATATGCATTTAAGAAAGCCTCAACATGCAGAAAAAAACCATGAAACTTCCCACTTTCTCCCCTTAATTGATATTACGTAGAAGTTCTGAATTTTTCATAATGATATGTTAACAAAATAATATTCAAATGTACAACAGTCCGCTTTTCCATCCTATTCTGTCGGCATTTTTGAAGTCGTTATTTCAGATTTTTCTAGAAACAAAACAGACAATGTCCAAGAGTTTAGATCGACTCATAATTCTTTTTTGCCATATTTTCTCAAAAATAGTACCAAAAAGGGGATCGTCTTTGCTTCTGCCTTTCCATCTCCACCCTTCCTCCCTCCGCTCCCCTTCTTCGTTTCATTCCTCACTCCCGTGCCACTAACAGAGTATCAGTTGTATATGCTTGCCTTAGAAATTTTCCACCTTCAACAGTTACGAATCGCTGCAACCAATGGCCAGGAAAACAAAAGTATATAGATAATTTGAATAGTGCCTAATTAAAACAAGGAAATTCATCAGGAAACCGAAGTAAGGTAAAAAACAAAGATAACTTTTGTTAAACGTTGTAATAGCTGTGATTATCGGAGCTCTAATAGCTATCGGTAAAGTACACTGAAAATTTTTCAATTTACTCATCCGTCGAATTCACAATGCACTTAATGGTTAACGTCCGACATGAACAATTGATGATGATTGCTCATTCTAAAAGAAAGAAAATAACAAAGAAATAAAAAATACTCAGCAAAAAGTAGCTTCTAAAATACTGTGTTTTCAGAATTACTGACTCAGTTACCTCAAGAAACAATAATTCCGCTTGTAATCAACGTTTAAAACCAAATTAAACTGAACACACAAGAAAAAATTTCATTTTTTATATACTTCCTTCCATTTAAACACCACACACTTTTTGGCGACATAAACTTTTTTTTTTTTTTTTGTTGACATCCTTAAACAAAAAATACCAAAGCAGAAAGAAGAAAAGAGATTTTTAAGTGGAAATAAGCGCAAAATTTGATTTAAAACCTTTTAACCAAACTACAGCAACAACAAAATATTTGTTGAATAATATAAATGAGAAAAAACCAAAAAGAATTTTTTTAAATACCATTATCCTCCAGCTAATGTTAACTTTGTTTTGTTTGTTCAATCACTTTAACTATCTCTCAACATTCATAGAGCAAACTTTATTTTGTCAAAAATTATTGACCACCATTTATACACTTCCAGCTGTTTCGTTTCCGTCCCCCCCCCCTTCCCCCCCTCCCCCCTATTTCTCCTTCCTTATCCCTCCACTTCTTTTGCCTTAACAATTCTTTGAGCCTTCTTAATTTTTCCAAACAGGTAACAGGCTTACTTAGGAGGTAAATATTCACTAAAACAAGTAATGTAAGTTTTTTTAGCCACTGAAGAGCTAAAATTAGCCCTCTAGACAGTCGACGTTTTAGCTTATTTTACGTCCAAGTCCAAAACTGCCAACTCTACTTTAAGACCCAATGTCCTACTTTACCAACGCAATGTATCCTTGCAATTCGATGTCTTTATAGCATATCTATGAATTCAAAACAATTGTGAATCACATAAAAGTAACAAGTAGAAAAACTAGAAGAGAACTTCTGATTCTCCATTCAACCAATTTTTGTTTGTCTGACAAAAAAAAAAATGATTTTCAAAATCAAAGTATTTACTTAGCTAAACTAAAAATCCACTAATGTTTTAATAGCGGTCATCACTTTTTTTCTTTAACAGCAGAAAAACCACAAAAAATCGAAAAAAAAGATACCAAAAAAATTATGAGAACGTAGTTACTAACCAACTGATGGAAAACAATAAAAACATAAACAGAACATTGCCAGCAAAATTAGTAGCAAAACTGTTACACATACCTCAGATCAAAATGCTTGGGCCGACCGCAGTACAGGGTTGCATCGTTCGGGACCAAAAAACAGAACACAATGCAAATAAATATATGAGAAAAAAATATTGAATAAGAAATTAGGAGACAAATATATAAAACTCTAATAAGTGGTTCAGCGGTGATGTAGCACAGAAGCAGAACTGCGGCGTAAATAAAATGAGAAAAAAAATATTTAGCCAAAAAGTATGAATAAACTGAAAAAAATTATTAAAAAATGTATGTATATATTAACGACGTTTTCTATGAGTTTTAAGCGGTACTCGGATAGGAACAACAGGGGAGGACAGATTGCAGCCTATGAACGCAAAAAGGGTTGAAGGCTTATGTGATTTGGTTAGGCGATCAATAAGATTAAATAACGTTTCGACGGCAAACCATAGTAGCAACAACAGCAACACCAACAGCATCAGAAACGGCAGCAGAAACAGCAACAACATCGGCAACAGCAGCAGGCATAGCACTCCATTTTGCTCATTGATATTCCTAAACGCTTTCCCACAAACTCTACTTGATAGATCTTTAAAGCAAAACGCGAACAGGGGGTACGTTAGTAATGTTTGTTGGTGAGTGTCATTTATGTTTTTTGTTCCCTCACAACAATATAATTACCAACAATAGCAACAGCGGCAACACGGAACGGATGTTGAATCAAACGCTGTTGATTCATCCGCACAGTTGAAAGATTTCATCAGTATTAAGATGTGTGAAAAAATTGAGGGAAGGGGCGGGAGAGAGAAAAAGGAGGAACGGGTAGGGCGACCAACCAAGTTAAGCATTATCTGTTTAAGTTGTTTCCCGAAAAAATATGAAACTTCCTTGTACAAAAAACTAATTTCTCCAACCACTATAGCATTTACGAGATAAGTGTCGCGATAAACTGCAGTAACGGTTGTCGGAGTTTTTGAGGATTCATGTCGGCATGACTGCTTTTAAAAAGCCATGAAAATGGCACGCACATTAACTTGAAATCTAATTTTTGAGAGCTGTTTTTGGTAATTCGCTTTGAACAATTTTCTATTTGGTCATGTTTGACGACCTGGATTTCATGTTTGGAGTAATGACATCTTACCGGTTCAGTCTGTTCGACAATCTGTGGAGAGGAAGTGAGTAAATGAATTAAAAACCTTCACTACTGACGAGTCTAATGCCAAGAAAGACTTTCTTTTTTTGTAATGTCCAATTTGCACTTTGATCAGTTTTAATTTTTTACTCCAATTTTTTTTCTCGTTTTTGAGGACATTTAATTAATTGCTTTCTTCGCCGCCAAAAAAAGAGCAAAAAATGGAATTTTTATACCTCTGAAAATTGAGGGTAATTTATGTCTTTTTCTCCTTCTTTTTCATACCTCTCTCTTTCTTCTTTCTTCTCTTTTTTTTCAACTTTACTTGTTTTGTCGCTTTTTCTATTTAAAAATTAACAGGGAAAGAAATGGAAAATTTCTGATATTTTGATGCTTCTCAGAACAGTAAAAAAATTAAATGTTAGCAAAAATTGATGGCTGCTCAAATTAAGAAAAAATGAGAGTGAGGAAGTTTTTTGAAATTTATACAGGCAAGAGTGGTTATAAAAAAATGAAAAGGAGGTGTTATATTCGTATAGTTTTGACAGTTGACCTACTCTTATATATATCCTGGTCTCTTTCCTAATCTTTTCCATTCTTTTGTTATACTTCTCCTGAACTTTTGAAGTTATCGGAAGTGAAAAAAAATTTTTTTTCGCTGTCTAAGTATGTTGTCATCTCAGTCATCTCAGTTGCTTGCTTGGCAATTGTCTGATATACTTTTTTTTATTGTGAATATTGATCTAAAAAACACTTTAAATAATAACAAAGACTGGTCTAAACTTCTGAGCCTTATTCTTCATTCATTAGTTTAGTAGTAACTCAAAAAAATAGATAAATCTTCTCGGAATAAAATTACGCTTTTCATTGGTCATTGTATTTCACGACGATAAGGATAAATGCTGACAAAATAGACATTTATTTAGGAATAAGATGTCATGAATGATTTAGGCGGAGAATTATCTGACGAAATGACACTAAATAGTCTAAACAAAAAAAAAATTCAATAAAATTTGTTAAGGTGCTTTATTAACAGTTACTGTATTGCATATTGATATTAATAAGAAGATGAAGAAGAGCTGTCACTGAAAAGTGAGAGCGCCAACAAATTCGAGAAGCTTAGATCTAGGCGACGCCACGTAGAACATTTCAACCAGAAGCGTAGTGCTCCAAAGGACTTCATATTGTCCGCTCAAGTTTCATTTGAGGCTTACGGTTTTTTATTATTATGACTGGAAAATACGTTTAAGATATGGTTTTCAGGTACTGGCC